TTCTGGTTCTCCCCAGCAGAGCATTCTCTAGTCTGGATCCCTGGCTTCACTCATTAGAGAGGAAGCACTAGCTCCCAGATAGGAGACTGAGGGCAACAGAATGGGAAGGGACCCCACTTAATACAGCTCTCTGCTGCCAACTATCAAGTTTATTTTAATAATTTAAAGAGAGTAGGAGTTCGGATTCTGACTTCAAGCCAACCCACAGCTGCCTGTCTTCTGCTGATGCACAACCAAAACCTCTGGACAAAAAGGCAAGGACCCGAGGACCCTGGAGAGCGGCACTCACAGGTGAGACTGAGAGAAGCCCCATCTCCTGGTCAGAGGCCCTGGGAAAGGGGGCCCTGAAGCTGGGAAGTGTAGGGGTGAAGAGCGGGAGGAACTGGAGACGGGGAGTCTGCGATACTGGGCGTGACTCCTGCTCACACGGACGGACGGACACTAAGTAGTACAACAAAGGCTACAGTAAGACTGACAGCTCAGACCAAGCTTCCGGCGGACGGCGCATGCAAGACAGAGTCAGAGAAAACTGAACTGACACCCACCCAAGGCAAGATACAAGTTGCAGTCTCAGCCTAACCAGGGGGACTGCCTGTTTAAAACAAACACAGAACTTAGCATCCTCCAGAGGATTATGCAACAGGACACAAAGCAGACACAAAATGTCCAGGACACATCCCCCATTACTTAATACTCCTCCCACCCCGAAAGCCCCAGGAAAATGTGACCCATTCTCCAGGCAAAAAACAATGTCAACCCTAAAATAACTCGTGACTTTAAAGCAGCTATTAGAACTATATTCCAGAAGGTAAAGGCACAGTGGTAAGAAAGGATGAGATTAGGAGCAGAGAAATAGAAACAATGGAAATTTTGAACCAAAGAGTATAAAATTCAGAAATAAAAAATTCACTAGATGGGCTCAATAGTACAATGGAGAGGACAGAGGAAATAGTTAGCGGATTCAAAGTTAAATTGATAGATATTTGCAACCTGAAGAATGTAAGGCTTAGGAAAGAAAATGAATAGAGTTTCAGGTATCTGTGAGGTAAAAGATCTGTCCTTCACATCACTGAAGTCCCAGGGGAGAGGGGAAACGGATCAGTGTAGAAAAAAATATTTGAAGAAATAATGGCAAAAAACTTCCCAAATTTGATAGAAGACATAAATTTACAGATTCTGAATGTTCAGTGAACCCCAGACAAAGGTAAAACTAAAAAAAAAATCCAAAACTCACAGTGGTCTATTTCTTGCAGACTTTATCTTGGTAACCCAATCAAGTTTCTCACAACTGTTCTAATTTCTAAGTTATGGATTTATTTTTGCCTTCACTGAACAAATACAAACTTTTATTTAATTGAAAACACCATTCAATGTAAGAAGCACCATCACTTTATGTAATATTTTAACATGCTGCCAATTATTTGTTAAGATGTTATAAAAGACACATCCTGATTTTATAGATGTGAAAATGTAAAAAAACAAAAATCAGTGCATCTTAGAATAAATGCAAAATATACAGAGTTAAAGGCTTCCCTGTTAGCACAGTTGATAAAGAATCTGCCTGCAATGTAGGAAAACCCGGTTTGATTCCTGGGTCAGGAAGATCCACTGGAGAAGGGACAGGCTACCCACTCCAGTGTTCTTGGGCTTCCCTTGTGACTCAGCCGGAAAAAGAATCCACCTGCAATGAGGGAGACTTGGGTTCGATCCCTGGGTTGGGAGGATCCCCTGAAGAAGGGAAAGGCTACCCACTCCAGTATTCTGGCCTGGAGAATTCCATGGATGGGGTCGAAAAGAGGGACCTGACTGAGCAACTTTCACTCACTTCACATACAGAGTTAAGCGCTCTCTGAGCACAAGACAGACACTGTGGTAAGACACAAGCTTGAGTCCTAACACTGGATGCACACTCCACCCCTCCTCCTTGAACGTTGCTTAACCACGCTTTCTTCTTGACTTAGCAGCAAAACACAAAATACACATTTAAAAAACCCTCACTGATCTACGGTATTAAAACTCTTGTGCACAGCCCCACCTATAAAAGCCCATCGTATCACCCTTCCCTCCCAACGATGGCAAGGTACAACCCAACAGTAACTCAGTCCCCACACCCTGATCATTTTATAATCCTTTATCAGACTCAACTTAACTTCTAGTGACAAGCTAGGTGAACTACTTTTTCATTTTTAATTTCAGCCTATACCACGCCACCTCCCGTCACCCCACAGCACAACTCCTTATAAAATTCCACCCATGTTGACAAAGCTACTCAGGCTGATTTCCTTACTTTAACGAAACTTTATTTTTGTTTTAACCTTGGACAGTTTTATGTACCTTCAGAGTCTATTTCATTCTCAAACTATTTATAAAGTACCAAGAGAATGCAATAGAAATTTAGTTTTTAAAATAAAAAAGGTCCCAAGGTTTTTAGTCACTAAGTGATAGCCACACAGCTCTCTCCGCAGTATTTGCCCCTTACTCTCACTTCTGAAATAAAACATAAGCTGTACAACCTGGGTGGGTATTTCTAATGAGATCCTACTCATAGTTATTAAATATTGAGCCTTTGGGAAAATCCCAAACGACATGACTCTATATACTTATAAAAGTACAGAGTTCATATTCTTTCCTTTTTGAAAGTGAAAGTCACTCAGTCATATCAGACTCTTTGGGACCCCATGGACTATACAGTCCATAGAATTCTCAGGCCAGAATACTGGAGTGGGTAGCCTTTCCCTCCTCCAGGGGATCTTCCCAACTCAGGGATCGAATCAGGTCTCCCACATTGCAGGCGGATTCTTTACCAGCAGAGCCACAAGAGAAGCCCTTCCTTTTTACAGATGCGTAATATTTTAGGCCCTGTGTTTTAAAGTCATGTTGCTAACACTGTAAATGTGATTCATAAAGAACAATCCTATATACAGTGGTGACCCTCTGAGGTACCAGCAGTGGTCAAACTAGTGGCACACAGATCTAGAATTGGCCCTGATGAAATGCCATTTTGGACAGCCCCGTCCCCAACTCCAAGTCCCGAGTCCATTCTTTTCATCCATAAAGACAAAAGAAAAGCGAAAGTGTTAGTCACTCAGTCATGTCTGACTCTTTTTGACCCCACGGACTATATAGCCTGCCAGGCTCCTCTGTTCATGGGATTGTCCAGGTAAGAATATTAGAGTTGGTTGCCATTCCCTTCTCTAGGGTATCTTCCTGAACCAGGGATCAACCCAGGCTTCCTGCCTTGCCAGCAGAGTCTTTACTGTCTGAAAAAAAGCCATAATGTTGGTATATGAATCAAAAGGATTTAACTTGGTCAGACTGGGCCTTCAAAATGACCACAGAGCCCTCTTACACTGTGTGCCTGCTTCTCCTCTGGCAATGGGCATGTAGTCGGGTAGCTCTACTCCAGAATAAAACATCGGCTTAACCCAGTACGTGCTGGCCTCCTCATTGAGGGTAGGATGGGCAGCTGACCACAGTCAGGACAATCTGGCTGTAACCGTGCTTCTGGAGCTAACTAGGCGCGCTGTGCGGAGAGCAGAGGTCTCCTCGGGAACACCATTTTGGTTTCCTGGCAGCCTTGCTGTGGTTGATCTACACGCTCATGCTGTCAGCAAACACTGAAGCATAACCCACAGTCCCACACCCTTCCATCTGGATGCCCCCCTAGAGCACTCCTGGAAGGCGGGGGTGCTGCTGGGCCCCTGGGGGAGCTCCTATCAGACACGCTTGGAGCCTTTGTCCAGGTCAGATCAGAAATGAAAATGCAAAGAGTAAACTACAAACGGTTTGTTTCATCTGCTGTGCCACAAGTGAAGCCAGTTATCAAGCCTAGGGTTTTTCCTTTTTCTTTTTTTTTAAATAAAAAGAAAACCTGCCTGCACGTATACTGAGGATTCTAATTCTTAAATACTAGAAGTATCAGCTGTTTCAGGACACCTTGAAGGGAAAAAAAATAAGATCAAATATTTTCTTTCAGTAATGCATACTCACATTATCTTTTTGCTCTATGGGAGTGGGTCAGTAGCAGTGAAGGTCAGAAGTTAGAATTATTATTTGACAAAATAATTATTTTTGCAAGCTGCTGCACTGGTGTGACAGAGGTCTGGGATTTGGCACAAAGGAGCACCCGTCTCACGATCTGATACCCCCACCGAGCAGCCCGCCACCTGCAGCCCGGAGCCGGCCAGGGAGGGGCCGCCGGCCGAACCTGGCCTCTGGCCACCCTACCTCTCTTCAGGGCACTGGATCAGACGTGACAGATATCCAGCCAAAAAAAAAGAAAGGAAAGGAAAGGAAGAGACAAGGGGGAGAGGGGACAGAAAGGAAAAAACACCCCTAAAATTTGGGCTCTGTCTTTTCAAACACTCTAATCCTTTCGTGCTGATGGGTCCTGGAGCGGCCGGAGCTGGCACGGGACCCTGGAACGGGAAAATCTGACTCCCTCAGCCAAAACGTTAAAGGGAAGACTGCTAATCAGCTAAATAGAAACTGGAATCTGTTCACATGAGGTCCCCCACAACCCCCGCATCACCAGAGGGACACCATAGTGTTCTGAAACACACTCTTGACATCATCTGGCAGGCAACCCTGTTTTGCTAAACATGATTCATCCCTTAGGTTATTGTTTTTAATATTAGAAAGTGAGCTTTTAAATGCCAAACAAATTTTATAGCAGGGGGACAAAAGATATTCCAAGTGGTCTCACTGGACCTTCCACCAACTGCATCCACCAAATGGTCTAAAAAACCCCCTTCCCGTGGAGTTTCAGAAACAAGGCAGAGAGGCAGCTCCATCCAACCATTACCTAATACGAGACTTTGTTCTCTTAAGTTCACAGAGACAGTACTTGTGGGGTCAGGGCTGAACTCAGGTGGGCAGAGCTGTGTGAGAAGTGAGGAGGGTGAGCTCTGCAGGAAATCAAGCGAGCTCAGTGGGGCTGAGTGGCCCGATCTCCCGAGAAGCTGCCTGCGGCGGCCAGATACAACCATGTGGAAACATACCTCCGGTCCATGTTGCCGCTGACCATGAGGTTGGGAGGGCTGTCCCGGAGGTTGACACAGGTGAAGTCACCCAGCGCGTTGCCCAGCTTCGAGACACAGCGTTCTGCTTCCAGGCTGTACACCAGGATCTGGGGAGGAGGAGGAACACATGGGGGTGTGCGTTAGGTGAGCAGGCCCGCACAAACACCTTCCACTCAGCATCGCCCAGGGAACAGTCACACCACCTGCTCCCACAGAGAAGAGGCTCTGCCTCCTGACCCCTTCCAGGTCATGGCAGTGGAGGACGTCCCTGACAGAACAAAAGGAAATGCAGAAGAAAAGAAACTCCAAAGAAACCCAGGCCAAGGTGCAAACAAACTCAAAGGACACACAAAACATGCCAAGTGGGGCAATTAGGTATCCCAATTTCCTAACACAGAAAAAGAAGCATGGAAACCAACTAAGGGCCACTGCTTCTGATTACATGATAGGGGAGGCTAACAAGAAGCCGGCATGGGTTATCTGTTTCTCCCCCTCTGTATTTACACCACAGCAGGTAAAAGAACAAACAGTAGAAGCATTAAGGAAGATGAAGCTTGCAGAGTTAACCACTAGATGACTCCTTTAAATGACAAACCAAAACACAAAGTCCTGTTTGAAACATTAAAAAAAATTTTTTTTTAATTGAGATACAACTGATACCCCCCAGCACTTCTCCAGTCACTCTCCACTTGCTAATTATAGGAAGCTCTGTTCCATAAGGTATGGAGGCAGGTAAGAAAGTATCCTTGGTCTCCAGACAATGTATTCAGTATATCTGAACACTGCCTCTTCTCCGGGGCTTCCCAACGTTGCTCAGTGGGTAAAGAATCTGCCTGTAATGCAGGAGACCTGGGTTCGATTCCTGGGTCGGGAAGACACTCTGGAGGAGGGCATGGCAACCCACTCCAGCATTCTTCTCTGGAGCATCCCATGGACAGAGGAGCCTTGTGGGCTATAGTCCATAGGGTCGCAAAGAGTCAGATACAACTAAAGTGACTAAGCATGCATGCATGCCTTCTCTCCAGCAAAAAGGGGGCAGCGAGGATGATTCATAAGGAATCTTTCTGAAGATTATTTAAGTCTCTTACTAAAAAGTAATTCATTTAACATTAAGTGCTCACTATGGGTCAGTAACTGTTATTTAAGTACTAAAGACACAGTCCTTGCCCCAGAATTCACAGTTCAAAAGCCTGCTCATTTACACACACACATATGAGCACACATTGTATTCTGTTGATCATGGGGTTAAAATTCATCACTGAACTCAAAAGTTTTAATGTAATATTTTATAGAGTCTCCTCTCACCACACACATGAAAATGATATGCTATTTTTTTGTTAACCTATACACTTACCAACTGTCAGTATACAGATTCATATTTCAGAATTGAGACGTTAATAAACTGACCCCACCCTGAAAACCATCGATCTCACTGTCAACATACATTTATAAGAACTGAATCTTTGGAAATTCCTAAGAAACTATTGCTTATAGTATCTGAAAGGAGAGAGGGCAATTTCAAAATGTAAAATGCCTTCTTAATTCACAAAGACTATAGAGAACATGCTAAATTTTATCTTTATTTCATGCAGTTGAAAATAAAATTTCTGAGAAAATTTCAACTATAAAATATCCAAAATAAGATTATATGGACCTAGAAATAAATCAAATCTGCTATCTACAGTGAATATCCTAAAAACCACATAGAAATTAGTTCCTAGAGGGAGGGGAAAAAAAACACCAGCAATATCCTGGTCTACTCTAAAGTAACATTCCACACTTACTTACGTATCACTGTGGAGTTTTCAATAGGACTTGGACTCAATCTCTTGTTTTTAAAATACTTCAACATCGACAGCAGGAAGAAATGTCCACAGTAAATAGAAGAATTAAAATCTGATACTCAGTCTATTCCTATGTCTTTCCTTTTTCTGGAAGTTCTTTTTTGGCGAGAGGACAGGTCGTTTCTGAATGAAACAGTGGGATCTAATCCCTCTCCAAAAATTCATCATAAAGATGTCTAAGTTAGTAGTCAGGAGTCAAGGATTTTCTAAAGTGTTTAATAATTCAATGAATCAGAACTACCAGAAGAGTATCTTGACCATTATGTTTAGTTAAAGACCGCAGAGATTAGAAAACACATTACCCATCTCAGAGGCGGTTCTTCCCACGTTACGAGTCCCTCAACGACCTTTACCATCTCCCTCTCCCTCCGTGCTCTCTCTCTTTTAATAAGGTTGAGCAAATGGGACTTCATTTTATCTGATTGCCACAGACTAGTGAGATTAATTATTCATGCTCACGCTCTCCTCTTGTTAAAGCCATGCATTAGACTAATTTTTCTCTTTATTGCCCTAGTTGGGTGAGTCTCAACCCATGGCCACTTGACTCCCTCTCAGAGGCGTATGGATATGCTGAAAAGAGGGAAAAAACGACCTGTAGTTAAAATCTTGGGAGAAAATGTTCTGCACTAATGTGACCACCAAATCAATAGATGTTGCTGGGGGTTTTTTCTTTGAAGTATCAAGAGTGTATAGTATCTGAAAGGAGAGAGGGCAATTTCAAAATGTAAAATGCCTTCTTAATTCACAAAGACTATAGAGAACATGCTAAATTTTATCTTTATTTCATGCAGTTGAAAATAAAATTTCTGAGAAAATTTCAACTATAAAATATCCAAAATAAGATTATATGGACCTAGAAATAAATCAAATCTGCTATCTACAGTGAATATCCTAAAAACCACATAGAAATTAGTTCCTAGAGGGAGGGGAAAAAAAACACCAGCAATATCCTGGTCTACTCTAAAGTAACATTCCACACTTACTTACGTATCACTGTGGAGTTTTCAATAGGACTTGGACTCAATCTCTTGTTTTTAAAATACTTCAACATCGACAGCAGGAAGAAATGTCCACAGTAAATAGAAGAATTAAAATCTGATACTCAGTCTATTCCTATGTCTTTCCTTTTTCTGGAAGTTCTTTTTTGGCGAGAGGACAGGTCGTTTCTGAATGAAACAGTGGGATCTAATCCCTCTCCAAAAATTCATCATAAAGATGTCTAAGTTAGTAGTCAGGAGTCAAGGATTTTCTAAAGTGTTTAATAATTCAATGAATCAGAACTACCAGAAGAGTATCTTGACCATTATGTTTAGTTAAAGACCGCAGAGATTAGAAAACACATTACCCATCTCAGAGGCGGTTCTTCCCACGTTACGAGTCCCTCAACGACCTTTACCATCTCCCTCTCCCTCCGTGCTCTCTCTCTTTTAATAAGGTTGAGCAAATGGGACTTCATTTTATCTGATTGCCACAGACTAGTGAGATTAATTATTCATGCTCACGCTCTCCTCTTGTTAAAGCCATGCATTAGACTAATTTTTCTCTTTATTGCCCTAGTTGGGTGAGTCTCAACCCATGGCCACTTGACTCCCTCTCAGAGGCGTATGGATATGCTGAAAAGAGGGAAAAAACGACCTGTAGTTAAAATCTTGGGAGAAAATGTTCTGCACTAATGTGACCACCAAATCAATAGATGTTGCTGGGGGTTTTTTCTTTGAAGTATCAAGAGTGTATCATAAAAGGGCTTAAATAGTAATTACAGAGCAAATTTTTGTAGGAGTTGGATGTTTCTTTACGAATTGTCCAGAAGGACTGAACCTGTTGCCTATTTTACAAAGAGAACCGCAGGAGAGGCAGTGTGAGGTCTCTGGACACTGTGGGCTCTACTTCTTCCTCTCTGGCTTCCAGGCAGATGGAGAGGGCACCTGGGGGCAGCAAGTGCTGTTTAAAAAGCACTTTGCTTTTTCCATCTTAGAGATCTTAAAAGTATTGGTACAAACCCTAGTCTCAGAACCCTAACTTTAATTTGTCAATTACTTAGATTTCTCTGAAATTTCCAAAAAAAATTTTTTTCTGATTTCAAACATAATATATAACAAGTTCTAACACAACAAAATCATGTAACAAAAACTTGTAACCTTCTGCATATCCATCTCTCAAAAAGAGCCACTTTAACAGTTCAGTGTATACAGCTGTCCCTCAGTATCCACGGGGGTTAAGACCCCCGGCATACCAAAATCTGCCCACACTTATACAATGTAAATGCTGGGTATATAGTTACTGGTGCTCAGCAAATTCAAGTTTTGCCATGTGGAACTTTCTAGAATATTTTTAAAAAATTTTCAACCTGGGATTGGTTGAATCTGTGGATTTGGAACCTGTCTAGCTGACTGGGTACTGCTAGACTTTTTCTATACCCATGTCTGTCTTGTCTGTTGCTCCCTCTCTGTGTGTGTATAAAATTGTTCTTTTCTTCAATGGGATTATTGTTCTGTGACTTGTTTTTCCTACTAAATAACATGAGAGATCTTTCTTTATCAGTACCTAGTAATAAGTTGATCTTTCTCTTTTTAAAGGTTGCATAGAATTTGTCATGGATATATAATTCCATATTGGTGGATATCTGGGTTGTTTCTAATTTTTTTAGACAAAGTAAATAACAGTTATCCTTAATTTGTAATTCTTTCTGCAGTCAGTCAACAAATGTCAATGACTCTTCGTGCAGGAGGCACTGGAATGAACAGGGAGGGTGGATGACGTGCAGGAGCCTCGGCGGGCTGTCAGCTGAAACAATCCACCTCTTCACCAGCTAGCGTGCAGCCACCAGCTGTCCCGCTCCTCCATTTGTGGGACTCACCTCTCTGAGGAGACCTGCCTTTCCACCATGTCCCAGCAGGTGGTGATGTCACAGTAGGGGCAGCAGTACAGTCAGGATAGAGGTGGCAGCCACAGGCCCAACATCAGGGAAACCTCAGGCAACACCCTGGTGCAGGCAAACCCTGCTCCTCCCAGCTGTGACCCAGACCAGCTACTGTATCTAGCACTGGCTTTCCAACCAGACCCTGAAGGAAAGGGATGAGAATGGCTCTGTCCCTGAAGTGGGGTGAACTCAACGCAGGCCAACTTCACCCAGTAAGACCTGGATTTAGCTGCAAACATTTCTGACATCTGGGACTGCTATTCCCCTCATTATGAAACAGGAACCATTTGTGTACAGAAATAGTTCTGAAGAGATTATAGAGCCTTGCAGTCCCAGACTTGTG